AAATATAAATCCTTTGTCTGAGGAACAACTAGCTATAAATTTATCCTATTCTGTGGTTTGTCTTTTCACTCGGTTGGTGATTTCATTTGTTATACAAGAGACTTTTAGTAAGATAAGAATCCATTTCTTGATTCTTTGCAGTATTTCTGATGTGGTCTGGAGGTTCATGTGGTCTGTGGTTCATGAAGTCTCTGTCTATACCTGTATCTTCAAGATTTCTACTCATTTTCTCTTCCAGTAGATTTAGTGTTTCTGCTTTAATACTTAGATCTTTGATCCATTTTGACTTTAGTGTACGGTAATAGGCATAGGTTTAGTTTTAGTCTTCAGCATGTACAAAGCCAGTTTTTCCAGCACCATTTATTAAAAAGACTATCTTTCTTCCAGTGTACATGTTTAGCCCCTTTGTCAAAGATAAGGTGACTGAGTGTGTTTGGGTCTGCATGCTCTAATCTGTTCCACTGGTCTTCAGGTCTGTTTTTTTGCCAGTACCATGCTGATGTTATCACAGTAGCTTTGTAGTATAATTTCAAGTCAGGGATTGTGATGTCCCCTGACTTGCCTTTGTTGCCTGCAATTGTTTTTGCTATTCTAGGACACTTCTGGTTGCAATTGAATTTTAAGAGTGTTTTCTGTAGTTCTGTGAGGTATGCTAATTGTATTTTGACTGGGATTGCATTAAATCTGTATAGCAATTTTGGAAATACGGCCATTTTCACAATGTTTTTTCTTCCTATACATGAGCAATGGATATCTTTCCATTTTCTGATATCCTCTTCAGTCTTCTTTTTCAGAGTAAAATAATTTTCAATGTATAGATTTTTTAATTTCCTTTATTAGATGGATTCCAAAGTATTTCTTTTTTTCTTTTTTTTGGATGCTATTGTAAAGGGTGTGGTTTCCATAATTTCTCTCTTTGTGAATTTCTTGCTTGTGTACAGGAATGCTATTGATGTTTGAGTGTTGACTTTGTATGCAGCTACACTGCTGGATTTGTTTTTAAATCTAGAAGTCTTTTGGTGGAGTTTTTGGGGTGTTCTATGTACAGTATCATGTGTGCTGCAAATAACAATAATTTATCTTCTTCCTTTCTGATCTTTATTCCTTGTATTTCTTTCTCTTGTCTAATAGCCCTGCTTAGTGTTTCCAGAACTATACTGAATAGGAGTGGTGATAGTGCACATCCTCGTTTTGTTCCTGATTTTAGAGTAAAAGCTTTCAGTTTTTGACCATTCAGTGTGATGTTGGCTGTTCGTTTGTCATAGATGACCTTTATCAGATTGAAGTAAAGACAATCTGTTCCAGTTTTCAGAGTTTTTATCATGCATGGGTGTTGAACTTTATCAAATGCTTTTTCTTCATCTATTGATATGATCATGTGATTTTTGTCTTTGGTTCTGTTAATATGGTGTATTATATTTATTGATTTGCGTATGTTGAACCATCCCTGAATCCCTGGGATGGATCTTACTTGATCATGGTGTATAATCCTCTTGATGGTTTGTTGCATTCTATTTGCCAGTTTCTTGTTGGAGATTTTTGTGTCTATGTTCATATTTTCTTTTTTGGTTATGTTCTTTTCTGGTTTTGGAATCAGGGTAGTCGTTCCTTCGAGATGAAAAGACAACCCACAGTCATCCCTTAAATAAAGGAATTATATCTAGAACATATAAAGTATTGAAAAAAATCAGGCCCCCCCAAATTCAAAGACCCAATCCAAAAATGGACATCTGAGATGAACATGCACTTCTCAGATGACGAAATAAAAATGGCAAGTAAATGTATGAAAAAATATTCAACATCATTTGTCATCTGAAATACGCAATTAAAACAACACTGACATTCCATCTCACTCCATAAAGAATGGCTATCATTTAAAAATCAACCAATAACAAATGCTGGAGGGGCTTTTAGGAAAAAGCAATCCTTATCCACTGCTGGTGGGAGTATAGACTGGTGCAACGACTGTGGAAATAAATGTAGAGATGCCTCTAAAAACTAAGAATAGAGGTCCCATTCAATCCAGCTATTCTCCTTCTATATATCTTCCCAGCAGAATTAAAAACATCATACCATTTTGATGTATGTGCACCCATGTTTATAGTAGCACTTTTTTTTGGTACTGGAAATTGAACTCAGGGCCTTGAGCTTGCCATTCAGGCACTGTGCCACTGAGCTACATCCCTGGCCCTAGCAGCACATTTTTTAATAGCTAGATCTTGGGAACAATCCAGATGCCCATCAATTGAGAAATGGATAAAAAAGATGTGGTTTTTCTATAAAATAATGTACTACTGAGCCATAAAGAAGGATATGCTTGGGACTTTTATAGGTAAATGAATGCAACTTGAGATCATACTCATAAGTGAAGTAAATTAGACCCATATGTTTAAACATCTTACAGTTTCACTAGTTTGAGACTATTTCCCACTAAGTGACACATACTGTATCCCCATGATCCTTTATGGTGTGTGGTGGGATGAAGGCCTCTATCTTCATATAGCTATGTCCTGCTGAAAGGGGCTACAGATTGCACCTACTGGGGACTATATATTTTCCAACTACCTTGAGGTATTATGAATCACTGGCTAGGTTAAAAAAATAAAACGTTTAGAAGATGATGAGACATGTGTTAGTGAGTGTTGAGCTGTCTGTTTCATGAGAAAAAAAAAAACTTCACTACATTAGGTTGGGAATGTAGAGCCCAGGTATGAGGAGTATCAGGTCAAGTTTCCATGTTAGAGGAGAAGATATAATAAAGACAGATGTTAGATAAATTATTGAGAGCCTGAGAGCCACAGCCTTAGCAAGATTACTCACATTATGAATCTAATTAAAAACAAGAGCTTCAATACAGGTACCCATTTACTTGTCTATACCCAGAGCAGTACAGGGATTTTGATTTTGAAGAGTAACCCCAGGTCTTCCAGAGGTTCACAGGTGGCATTTTCTTCCTTGTTCTGTGAAAATTGAAGTGAGCATTTTCCATGTAGGATTTTTAGTTTTTCACTGAATAATTTCAGGAAGGGCCACGTTAATGGTTCCTCAGGAACTTGGAATAAAGCTAGTATGTTGATAGGCTGTAAGCTGCCTTTCTTGCCTATCAGCCTTGTGACTTCCCAAAGAGACTTTAGACGTGTCTCTTTGGGGTCACCTGCTCTGCTTCTGTTTTATAGATAATTGTTTATTTGTCAGCCAGAGTCTTTTTTTCCAGATTATTGCAAGGACACGTAGTGCCAAAAAGGCATATTGGAGTCTATAGATAGTGTTAGAGGCCCTTCCCATGGTGCCAGTTATCAGGGACCCTTGCAGTGAGTCCCCAATCTCCTGTCAAGTGTTACAGTGCATAGTGGGAAGAAAAGAAAAAGCAAAAGACAGAAATTCAGTGGTGCATAGCAAGAATCTGGGATGATCATTTGCTCATGGGGAATAAAAGGCCATGAGGCACCTAGACCTTGGTGTATATTCATTACATCTGAGTCAAGGACAGTAGGTGAAGAGCACCGGGTGTTTCTGGGAACATTAATGGTGACTACACTGTGGTGGGCCAGGAAGATCAAAACATTCTTGAAATGACAGGGATGAGACAGGCAGTGAGGCAACAAGTTTCCCCAGGTGCCTTATTCTTTTCAGTGGGTGTTATCTTACTATGTGAGTACTACAGTAGTCATTAGCCCTGGAGCTTCAAGCTATGACCAGAAAAGATGAGGGGGGGCTGTGTCTGTGTCCAGTCTGGTCCAAAAGGGCAGGACAAGGATAAGCTTGGATGTCTCCTAGACTCAATTTATAATATGTGGTCCCCAACAATTTAGCCTTTGGCCCTTTCTTGATATCAATGCTCAAGTAAGAACCATGAGTTCTGTGCTTTGAGCAGAGGTCCCTGGGGGAATGTTTCACCTCAATGGACTGTTGTGAACTGCCAGTGCATAATCTGCCTCTTGATGTCTTTTTTAGATGAAGCTTCTTCCATCAGTGAGCTACACCTCCTCATAGTCTGGGAGGGGCAAGTTACTGATGTCCTGCCTTCCTTCATATGTCTGGGAAATCACATGCCCATAAGAGTGGCAAACCTCTGAGCCTGTAGCTATCAGTATGGCCGGATTAAGAGTAGTGCAAGTATTTATGGTAATCTCAGGAGAGTCTGGAAGCATGCCCTGTCATAGTCCTAACAGGAAAAATGTGCTTTGCCCTTTGCTAAAATTGGAGAGTTGCCCCCAGTTTTACTAATAAATGTCTTAGTAGTGGGGGAGTGGGACAATGTGAGACAGTTAGAAACTCATGGTTAGGCCAGATGTGGTGGCACATGCCTGTCATCCCAGCACTCAGGAGGCTGAGGCAGGAGGATTGCTGTGATTCAAGGCCAGCCTGGGCTACAAAGTGAGCTCAAGGCCAGCCTGAACTGCATAGTAAAACCCTGTCTCAAAAATACTAACTAACTAAATAAATAAAAACTCATAGTTGAACATTTTACCTTTGAATTGACATGTCAGAGCAGGAGTAAAGAAGCTCTGACTAGGGCTTTCCTTGACCCCCAATTGTGAAGATAGATCTAGAGGAAGGTTTTCCAAAGAAGGAAGTTACCCATCTTTCATCCTCATCTAGATTCTGATTGTTGAACACAGAAAAGGCCACATCCAACTGTTGAGTCATATTTTAAAGTATTGCATCTCTAGAATCCTAGCTTCTGATGGAAAGGGTGGGAGAGATCCCTATCCCCCTGAACGACATGTGAGAGCCTGAGGACATATCATCAAAGATACTTTTTTTTCCCTAAAGGCTTCCTTAAGTACTGTGGTTCTTGGTCCTTTCCAGAGATAAAGGGTCATAAAAGCCTCAACATAGGGGAGTTCACATTATCTTCCTTGCTTTTTGCAGAGGCTATCTAACTGAAAAAGAATATTGTAATTTAAACTGCCACCCTGTACTCATTTCTGGCCATTCCCCATTTCATATGAGAGCCAAACTGTATTGTAATAATAGATAAATAATTCCTTTTTCAGGTTGGCGGGGTCAAACCTTTCTCAGTGCTCAAGCATACACCCTATTGGTGAGGTCTGTGGTGTGCTGTTTATGGTTTTCTCAAGGGGCCTTATAGAAAGAAAGAAAGATAACTATGTCTCTGGTTCTTCAGATGGTGTGCCATGCAGAAAGAGACTTGATCAAGTCCCCAAAGTGTCCCTTGTGAGACTCAATTACTTACTGTCAGGACTGGCCTGAGAGTGACCTGGGATAAAACTTGATGCTGTTTGAAGACAGCACACTACTGACAATGGCTTGCCTTCTGCAAACAAGAATCTCAAGCCATAAAGGAATTTAGGATGGACCCGAAGTCTTCTGGCACCAGTTGCATCTATGCACCTGTGCTAATTGTCTGTGTAGCTTTGACCTCAAACATTTCATCCAGACTCTTCAAACTGTGACCTCAAAACTGTATATATACTTCGACTCCAGATAGCTGCTGTGATATCACTGATGTCAGCCTGCCTGTATGTAGGTGAATAAAATCTGATCTTTTCCACAGCCTCGGTCTCCATGTGTTGCCTCATGCCACTATTACCTAACATATAGTACCATGACTTGGATGTGATATGGAATTCCTCTTGAAAGAATTTCCTATACCCTATCTCAAGCCTTTTCCACTGAGGTCATCTGATGACACCGAGTCTTGACCTTGCTCCAATGCTTCAAGCAGCTCCCCAGGTCATGCTATGCTGACTGCTTCAGTCTGGGTAAGCTTGCCTTCCTTTCCAGACTTCTACCAGTCCCTATGCCTTTAAGATCCCCCCTACTGCCACTGTTCACCATCATGCTTTGGCTCTCATCGTTTAACCCTTTCTGCTCCACACCACCTCCCTCTCTGCTCTCCACTGCTCCCCAGTTCCACTCATTCCTCTCACTCCTTGGGACAGAGAAAGGCTCACTCCTCCTGCATGCCTTTAAAAGTACTGCTAGTCGCAGATGCTTCCTGGGGAGACTGGCTCCCCTTGGTGATTGATCAACTGAGTTGGTGACCCATTTGTTCATTCACTCACATTACTTTATGGCATTGGCTGTGACTGAAGACATTCAGTACAAGCTCTGCTGCCCCTCTTACTTTGCCACATCAGGTGTGACAATTAATTACCTTTCTCTGCTCCCAATGGGGACGTCCCTCCTTGTAGTCCTTATTCTATTCCCCCTTCTTCTCCCCTAGCTTGTCTTCTAAAATATCTAAAATGACTCCACCTCCAAAATTATCTGAAGCCGAAGCACTTGGTATCTGTCTGTAATACTATATGGCCAAGCTATGCACTAGAAAAAAGTTTAAGGTGACCAGAGAATGGGACCTTTGATCCCTCCATTTGGTGGGAATTAGACAATTACTGCCTAAAGCTAAAAAAGTGGTCAGAACTTCCTTACCTGTAGGAATTCTGTCTTGGTTACTTTTTCTCATTGTTGGGACAAAATACCTGATGCCCAAAATTAAGGAAGGAAAAGTTTATTTTGCTTACAGTTTGTGCAGGTTTCAGTCCATACTTGGCAGATTACAAGGCAGAGTGCACATGGCAGAGGGCTACAGCTCATGGCTTCCAAACACAGCAAAAGCAGCAACACAAGGGAGGAAATGGCCTCAAGCAGCCTCTTTGTCTCCCTTAGGTATGCAAACTGTCCACCCCAGGGCAGGTGTAGCTCTCACACCCATAATCAATCAAACTCTAAAAGCCTGCCCCATGGCTGCATGAGGCTTTGGGGGGACACCCAAACACAAACCATAACACATTCTTTATCCTCATAATATTCCTACTTTTTGCACCTTGTGCAATCTCTCCCAGATCCTCCTCCTTTCTCTCCTATGTACACTTACTCCATGAGACATGGATTCCTCTCTGACAACAGAACCAACTGCTGTTGCTTTCTCCTGCCAGTATCCAGAACTTCCTGCCACCAACCCTCTTGCTGCTTTGACCCCCAGGAACCACTTGCTGCTATGACCACTTCTTTACCCCCAGAGCTTCCCGTGGCTGCTCCTTCTCATCCTGTAGGGCCTCTTGCTGACGAGATACGTACTCCATGTGCTACATCCACTATATATGATTGCACTCCACCCCATACCTTGTCTGGATTACAATTTGGCTCCAAAACCTTGCCTCCTGCCCCCAAGGTCCCCTGCCAGGTGGTGGCAGGAGCAGAAAAAAATTGTTAAAGTTTATGTTCCTCTCTCTTTGACAGATCTCTCCCAAATTAATCAGTGTCTGAGCTCCTTCTCCTTAGATCCCACCCAGTATATCCAAGAGTTTTGATATCTAACTCAGCCATATAGCCTAACCTGGGCTGATTTAAATGTGATCCTTGGCTCCAGTCTATCTTCAAAAGATTGGAAATGAATGCCCTCCCAGGCTCAGTATCATGAGGAACACCTCCACAAGGCAGATCTTCCAGTAGGGATGACAGCTGTCTCCCAGGAGGACCCTAACTGGAACTAGGCAGAATCTGGGGACTTAGCTAGGCAAGATCACATAATTTCTTAGTAAAAGGACTTCACAGGGCAGCACACAAGATAATGAATTTTTATTAGCTAAAGGAAACCATTCAGAGCAGGGTTCAGAACCCAGCTCAGCTTATGGCTCACTTGGCTGCTGCCTTTGGGGGATACACAGCATTAGACCCAGAAAGGCCAGAGGAACAGCTTATCCTAAAATGCATTTTATTACACAATCAGCACCAACTATTTGTGAAAAATTACAGATACTGGATGCTGGCCCTCAGACCCAAGAGGAACTTACTCATTTGGCTTTCAAAGTTCTTAATAATAGAGATGAACCTACAAGAAAACAGCACATTTCTGAGCTGCAGATGTTAGCCTCCGCTGTAAGAAACCCTCTGGCTGGAACAGACGCCCTCCCCATAGCTAAGAGCATTTCTAGGGCCTTTATGTCCAAGGGCGTTCCTCCAGGGCCTCAAATGCTGCCAGAATGGTCACTGGCTTAGGGAATGTCCACAGCATGGGACTCCCCCTAAGCCATATCCTTCCTGTGGGGGTCCCTACTGGAAGTTGGGTTGCCCAACACTGAAAGCCAGCCCTGTTGGCTCTATATAACAGCCCCAGAACCACCTCCTGACTGGCTCCTTCCCAGACCTTGGCCTGGCCACTGAGGACTGACTAGACCCAGAACCAGCAGAGGCCCTTTGGAACATTTCACATGCCAAACTCAGGTGACTCTTGCAGTGATGGGTAAGTCTATCCCATTCCTAACTGATACAGGAATTTGCCATTCCACTTTGCCTTTCTTCCAAGGACCAACCTCCTTGGCCCTAGTTACTGTTGTGAGTTTTGACAGTAAAGTCTCCAGACCCTTAAAAACTCCCTCAGTATGGTGCCAGTTGGGTCATCACCTTTTCCCACACTCATTTTTTGTCATCCTATCTGGTCCTTTCCTCTTTTAGGCCAAGACATTTTGACTAAGTTGTCAGCTAATCTGACCATCCCCAGGACACAATCATCCCTTATAGCCACCCTCCTTACTCCTTCCCTTTCCTCCCCAGATCTTTCCTTTGTTTCCCCTCATCTCAGCCCCAGAGTCTGGGACAATAAACCAGGTGTGATCAGGCTTGGGAAGGGGAAAAGCAAAAATATGTAGAAATGGTGAGATTGCCAAATGAATTAGGGAAAGTAGGTTAATGAATTGGGAAGCAAGATTAAAATTAGGGCCCAGGGGTGTCTCTGCCCTCCGTGCATCCGCCAAAGACAGAAAGTCCTCACTCAGAAGCCCCAGGGACTGCTCTAGCTGGGGGGCATGTGTGGCCCCTCCCTGCATGTGCCCTGCGCAGAGGGAGTCCTCCAAGAGCTGCTGGTCCCACGGCTCGAGACGGTGCCTTACTCCCACTGCCACGGTTCCCAGCTGAAACTCACGGAGAGAGCCAGGTATTTCCCATCTACTTCCTGGGAGCACAGCGGGCGACCCAGGACCCCGCCACCATTACAGACTGAGTCTCTGCCCTCCCTGCACCCGCAGCAGACAGGAGGTCCTCACTCAGAAGCTCTAGGGACTGCTCCAGCTGGGTGGCGTGTGTGACCCCTCCCTTCATGCACCCTGCACCGAGTGAGCGAGTGCTCCAACAGCTGCTGGTCCCGTGGTTTGAGTCTGTCCTTTACTCCCACTGCCATGGTTCCCAGCTGAAACTCACGGAAGGAGCCAGACAGGAGGTCCTCACTCAGAAGCCCTGGGGACTGCTCTCACAGGGGTGTGCATGCGGCCCCTCCCTGCGTGCGCTCTGTCCCAAGTGAGTGAGTGCTCCAACAGCTGCTGGTCCAGTGGTTCAAGTCCGTGCTTTACTTGCGCCTGGACTCCCTACGGGGTCGCAGGCACGGGCAGTCAGTGATTGCTGCCCATCCGGCCTGCATCTGGTTCCTGCATGTGTCCTGAACTGACTGGAGACACAGAATCAGGTGGTTCAAAAACTGTCGACCGTGCAGTTTGTCTGGGTTTTGCCTGTACCCTGAACTGCCTGGGGACATAGATCCACTGGACTGGGATTGTCACACCAGTGCAACCCAAGCCTGGGCCGTGCACGTGCCCTGAACTGCAAGGGGACGCTGGATCAGATGGTCTGCCATTAGCTGACACCAATGCCCATGTCTGAGACCGGGGATAACTAGATACAAATCAACAACTGCCAGAAAACCTGAGACTAAGTAGTGATCTCAGGGGTCACTGAGGGGCAAACCTGACCAACAGGAAAACTAAGGACACTAGTGGCCTTTGCTGTGCAGCCACTGAAGAGGGAAACTGAGCTTTTGCATCCAGTAGCAAACATGACAAAACAAAGGACTAAAACACAACTCCAGAACTCCACCCCACTCAGAACAAGTCCAGGAGACATCGACATAGGAGAACTTGGTAAACACTGGCCTGCAATAGCTGAAATGATTGCAATGGAAGTAAAGAAACAACTCCATAAGGCCATAGAAGAGATGAGATCAGAAATAATCTCTCAGGCAAAAAATGAAATGACAGTGATAATGAAGGAACTGCTCAGAAAGTCTGAAGAAGAAACATATAAAAAAACAGAAGAACAAACGCAATGGACAGATGTGTTAAATGAAAAATATAGAAAGGACTTAGAATGCATGAACCAGATTAAAAGAACTTTCAGGAAAACAAAGCTTCCATTGAAAGCTGCCAAAACCGCTTCAATGAAGGTGAAGATAGAATCTCAGACTTTGAAGACAGCATGGCAGCTAGCAACCATGAAAGAAAGGATCTTTTAAAATTAACAATGATCCAGGAAAAGTCAATTCAACAGCTGCAAGATGAGGCAAAGAGGAATAATGTACAAGTTATAGGAGTCAATGAAAGAGCAGGAGGCAACACAACTGACATAAAAAGAATATTTGCAGAAATAACAGCAGAAAATTTCCCAAGTATGGAAACAGAACCTGATATACAGTTAATGAGGCATAGAGAACTCCAAACAACCACAAACAAAATAAAACTACACCCAGACATAGAATAGTCAAGGTCCCAGATCTCCAGCAAAAG